GTAACCACTATCGCCCAAACTGTAAGAATGCTACTAATTCATCGTGATGACGTTGTTAACCTTGTCAAAATTTCCCCACCACTACGCAGTTTGCTCATAAGTAAATTTAAATAGACGTGCCACATCAGTTGTATTTGTTTCTGTATTGTAATTTTTTTTAAATTAATCACACGATTTAAACTGTATATATAAAGTAGTTATGTGTGAAGTTGTATGTATAACATTTTCTAATTCAATTATTCGTAAGCAAATACATTATACAGTTGCCTTAAACTTAACACCCTTCTTGCCAAGTGGTACTACCGTAGAGGTTTTTTAAACATTGCAATGCATCGTAATGGTTATTTTTAGAATGGCAAACTGATGCAGCTGTTAATACGTGTTGTAAACGTAGACACTACTAGACTAGATTAATAATGCTTAATTCCTGCATGAAAAGAAATCTTGTGCTTTACATAGATGTGCCGACCAAAAGTATTTTTTTAACCAATATCATTGTTTAAACTTTGAGTTTAAAAAAGTTTCCAAAAAGGCGCCACTTTGTTGAAAATGGCCAGAGGGGGAGCGGCCGCTCCCCCTGCTCCCCCCCTGCGTACGCTACTGTACAAGAGTGGGCATTTTCGCTTATTTATTTAGTTATGTTTGCTATGGATAACAAGGATGCAAAGTATTCTTCTAAAAGTGATAGTTTTATTAAATGAATATATATATATATATATATATGTGAGCGGGTGAATGGATTTTTTTGTATTATTTTATTTGTTGCGAATCTGCGAGTGCATGGTGGTCCTATGGGGATCAGACACGGGGTCCCCTTCCGTCCGAAGCGGACAGTATAAATTAACCGGTCGGACGATTTTCTCCCTCTTTTTGACCCACGGCGAGATGTAGGTCGGGTCAGGTTTCTGCGTGGGCGCACCTCACGCGTGGAGGTATTTGTTTTTTTATACTTTATTTTTATGTGATTTGTATGAATGCGACTGCCGATGTGTTCTCGTTTGATTTCTTTTTCGTCTAAAACGAGATAGTGAGCATCGGCATGTCTGGTATGCACGTGGTGTGTTATTCTGTTATTTTGAATTAAAATGTATTTTTGGTGTTTTCTAAACCCGTGGCGTGTGTTTCGGACCACGTGGTTTAGGCCAGTGTGTTTAGGAGTGTTTCCTAAACTGGTGTGAATGAGTGTGTGCATTTACCTGATTGTTTTATGATGTGTTGTTATTGACTAGGATTGGCTTAGTCAATAGTCAGTTGGTTAGACAGTAATTAGATTAGTATATTTTAGTTGCCTCGAGTTTTAGGTTGTTTAAAATTAATGTGTGTGCTGTTTCGTGCAACGTCGTATTGAGTATCGCTTGCTTTGTGTCTGCCTTCATTGGGGCCTTAGCGGAGTGTGTTAACTTTAATGTTATCAATATAGATGTTGTTTAGGTAGACCAATGGCTTTGGGCTTCCTTGTGTAGGAAAGATTGGTTCTACGATGAATTTGTTTACACGTTATTTTTAAGTTGCTAGTTCTTCTTTAGACAGTGGTTAGTTGTTTTTGAGAATTGCTTTTAGAATTGTATAGTAAGGATTAGTTTTACTCGAGGCTTTAGCTAGATAGTAGTAGTAGGTAGCATTTTGAACTTGTGTATATATTTATGTATATATCTGCCATTACCATGCATTTTTCTTATGTTTTCCTTTTCTTTTTCTCTTCCCCCCCCCCCTTCTAGTGAGGTTGCTTGGGCAACTTGGCTGGGTGTTTTGTTATATATGAATTGTTTTGTTTGGTGTAAAAAGTTTGTTGTGTACGTATTGTGTTCTACGTAATGTATTGTACGTAGTGGTTTTACGTAGTGTTTTGTTTGGTGTGGACTTTTGGATGTCGAGAATGGATGAAGGTAGGTTTCTGTGTGTCAGGGCCTGGACCATCCTAGACATCATAAGTCGGCGCAACACCAGCAAATGGTCAAACGTAATGTTTTGTTTGATGTAAAAAGTTTGTTTCGTTTGGTTCTGTTTTGTGTCAGTTTTATCTATTCTTTTTTTATAACTTTTGGTTCCATGCAATAAATTTTATTAAATTGTTAAAAGTTTTGTTTTATTTTAGTAGCTTATTATTTAGACTAAGGTTAGGGTTTAACCACTGTGGGTTTTACCACGGTTGCACTGACCGGACAGATTAGTTAGTTAAGCCTAGAAGGGTAGATAGATTTTAAGGTATCCCCCCCCCTAGCAGGGCTTACAAATTGGTAGCACGAGTGGGGTCAGTGCTTTAGTCTAGTTAAATTTTTGTTTTTTTACTAGGGCTAGTGTAGCTTAGTTAAATTTTTTTGTTTTTGATAGGCCCTTTATGGAACCATATGTGTTTAGTTTTTGTTTAGTGTAGGAGTTGTTTGTTGTTTAAACACCCAGTCAGGTTGGCGGAGAGACGTGCCTCGACGAGCCTTCAGTGTGCGTGGCTGGACAAGGCACGGTGTGTGGCACTGGACCTGGCGTGTGATGAAGATGGCGGCCTCGTGTGGTCTAGACTGGACAACACACACGGGCGTGGCGCGGATCTGGTGTGTACGGCAGACCGGTGAACAACGAGAGGCCTATGACGTCAATTCCTTGACCCACAAAGAGGGCTACTGGACACCCGCCCCACAGGTGTGTCGAAGCGGAGGCACGATCATTGGGGGCGGGTAACAGTCGGAGAGCCAGTGGGGCAAGGCGGGTGCGTCAACACCTGGCCCAACCAAGCGGACGCTCCCCACCAACGAGAGGCCAGTGACGTCAATTCCTTGACCCACAAAGAGGGCTACTGGACACCCGCCCCACAGGTGTGTCGAAGCGGAGGCACGATCGTTGGGGGCGGGTAACAGTCGGAGAGCCAGTGGTGAAAGGCGGTGGCGTCATATCTGAACCAATTTTACCGGTGGTCTGACGCTGAGGCCAGAACCAGAACACGGTGTGTTGTGTAGTGGACCCAGGTGGACGGGATGGACCGGCAACGTGTGCCATTAGCAGCGGGCGGGTCTAGGCTGACCCTCCCCCCCCTTGCCCTTCCGGATGAATGACCGACAGGACTAGTAGCGCGAATCAGCCTCAGTGAAGAGAGCACTATCTTGGTGCCTTGAGTTTTTTTAGGGAACACAGAGACGCAAGATTAATGTTAATGGAAATTGTTTTTTTCTTGCATTGTAGGCTTGATGTAAGAGATGGGTGCATGTTTTATTTTAAGATTGTTATATGCATTTTTTTGTCTTACAGGGACTGTAAGATTTTTAAAAGGGGTGAATGTGAGCGGGTGAATGGATTTTTTTGTATTATTTTATTTGTTGCGAATCTGCGAGTGCATGGTGGTCCTATGGGGATCAGACACGGGGTCCCCTTCCGTCCGAAGCGGACAGTATAAATTAACCGGTCGGACGATTTTCTCCCTCTTTTTGACCCACGGCGAGATGTAGGTCGGGTCAGGTTTCTGCGTGGGCGCACCTCACGCGTGGAGGTATTTGTTTTTTTATACTTTATTTTTATGTGATTTGTATGAATGCGACTGCCGATGTGTTCTCGTTTGATTTCTTTTTCGTCTAAAACGAGATAGTGAGCATCGGCATGTCTGGTATGCACGTGGTGTGTTATTCTGTTATTTTGAATTAAAATGTATTTTTGGTGTTTTCTAAACCCGTGGCGTGTGTTTCGGACCACGTGGTTTAGGCCAGTGTGTTTAGGAGTGTTTCCTAAACTGGTGTGAATGAGTGTGTGCATTTACCTGATTGTTTTATGATGTGTTGTTATTGACTAGGATTGGCTTAGTCAATAGTCAGTTGGTTAGACAGTAATTAGATTAGTATATTTTAGTTGCCTCGAGTTTTAGGTTGTTTAAAATTAATGTGTGTGCTGTTTCGTGCAACGTCGTATTGAGTATCGCTTGCTTTGTGTCTGCCTTCATTGGGGCCTTAGCGGAGTGTGTTAACTTTAATGTTATCAATATAGATGTTGTTTAGGTAGACCAATGGCTTTGGGCTTCCTTGTGTAGGAAAGATTGGTTCTACGATGAATTTGTTTACACGTTATTTTTAAGTTGCTAGTTCTTCTTTAGACAGTGGTTAGTTGTTTTTGAGAATTGCTTTTAGAATTGTATAGTAAGGATTAGTTTTACTCGAGGCTTTAGCTAGATAGTAGTAGTAGGTAGCATTTTGAACTTGTGTATATATTTATGTATATATCTGCCATTACCATGCATTTTTCTTATGTTTTCCTTTTCTTTTTCTCTTCCCCCCCCCCCCCCCTTCTAGTGAGGTTGCTTGGGCAACTTGGCTGGGTGTTTTGTTATATATGAATTGTTTTGTTTGGTGTAAAAAGTTTGTTGTGTACGTATTGTGTTCTACGTAATGTATTGTACGTAGTGGTTTTACGTAGTGTTTTGTTTGGTGTGGACTTTTGGATGTCGAGAATGGATGAAGGTAGGTTTCTGTGTGTCAGGGCCTGGACCATCCTAGACATCATAAGTCGGCGCAACACCAGCAAATGGTCAAACGTAATGTTTTGTTTGATGTAAAAAGTTTGTTTCGTTTGGTTCTGTTTTGTGTCAGTTTTATCTATTCTTTTTTTATAACTTTTGGTTCCATGCAATAAATTTTATTAACTGTAAAAGTTTTGTTTTATTTTAGTAGCTTATTATTTAGACTAAGGTTAGGGTTTAACCACTGTGGGTTTTACCACGGTTGCACTGACCGGACAGATTAGTTAGTTAAGCCTAGAAGGGTAGATAGATTTTAAGGTATCCCCCCCCCTAGCAGGGCTTACATATATATATATATATATATATATATATATATATATATATATATATATATATATATATATATATATATATATATATATATATATACATATATATAGCCCATTTCTGCAGATTTGAATCTAATAAAATTTTACTAAAATAAAACAATTAGGTCATTAAAAATGCAAGTTTGTATGTTGTTGGTTTTCACATAAAATCATTTTAGTCTGTGTTACGAAATCTTTTATATGCTTGCATGCATTTTGCAATTGAGACCAACATGGTAGATGGTGTGGCATGATGTGCAGACACTTAGAGAGCAAACTGGGCAATTGAATTCTGACCCCTCCTCTGTGCTTGTGACCTCATACACAACTGGACAATCAGGGGTCAAACAAAACTTGTATTTGTCTGAATGATTCAGCACAAAGTGGTCAATAGACTTGGTCACTAGGATGTCAGACAGGAGCCATTCATTCTCAAAGAAAGCTTTCAAGTCCCTCCAGGCCAAAGGTGACTTGCAGCTTTCAACAGCACATGTAAGGGGGAAATCTCTGCCTTCAACACAGGCATTCATGCTTATAATCAAGCACATTACACAGTAGCAGTGTCCACAACACTCAAGTCTGTACAAGTCAGATTTATCAGACACTGGACACTTGCACATGATACAGTAGGGCATCCATGGACCTTCCTGTGGACCTTGAGCATACAGGTATGACACGGCTAGGTCACTAATGGTGGCTAGTGCTCTGTCTACTGCACCACTCTCACCCAACAAAGTGATCTGTTTTTGTTTTAAGTTGGTATCAATATCTATCAGTTCAAGCTGATCAACGACTCCATCTGGCCATGAGCCGTACAAATTTGCCAGAACTTTCAATATGCCCAGTGGATATCTTGAATCTCTCAAAGAGATATCCTTTTTGTTCCTGCCTAGTTTATTTAGATATTCCTTGATATAATTCTGAGCATTGGTCACATTTTCTGCAGTTCCATAGAAATGGATCCTCTCCTTGCGGCTGTCAACAATGATCACCACAGAGTGGCTCTTCTCAACTTCTTCCAAAAGCTTCTCTCCTTGTGCTTTGACAAGTATTTTAAGGATGTCGTTTCCCCTACATTCCACGGTCAAACCTTCCAGCTCCTTTTGCAGTATATCTCTTGCTTCAACCAGAAGTTCCGGCCTAGAAGACAGAATATCTAAAGCAAAATCCCCTTGTTTCTTTTCTCTCTGTATGATCTCCACACCTTTATCTTTCTTCAGGTCAGTAATGATTTCATTTATTTCAGATTTGAGCACATCCATGATGGGTTGGGCTACATTAACTGTTGTTTTCAAACTGGGACAGATCTCAATGTTTTGTGTTCCTAGAAAAAGTTGCCCTTGTGCCTGTTTGCAGGCTTTAAAGCCTGCAACAGGGTTGTTGAAGTGGATGATAGCTACCTGATGAATGGAGGAATCCTTGACAGGCACCAAGGAGACATTAAAACTCTCAGACATAAACCTCTGGAATTGCTCACTAATCAAACGCTTAACTTGATTTAATTCCTGCTTGGACAAAGCAGCAACCTTCTGTCTAAGTAGCCTGACATGGATATTGTTTTCCTTAGATTCATCATAATCCAGTAGAGCCATGATTGCTTTCTTGATGTCCCTTTCAGAGGCATCTCCAGTGTTGAAGCAATTGAGTGTCATTTGTTTTCTAGTTGATTCTTCAATGAGAACTCTCCTGTCAGGCAAGGTTAACCACTTGCCCAAAAGAATGGACCTCTAATTTGGTGGACAAGATATGATAGCAGTGCCGTTGCCAACGATGGGCTTTCTTACCCAGGACAGCCGGGCTTCAAATTTGCTCCTGATTCTTCTATAAGCACTGTTGGTTTTTAATTCTGCGATGTTGGAAGCATCACTCCTAGTAGCGTGGACTGCCATATCTGCTTCCAAACATGTGCTGTACCTAACATGGCCCCAGGGCTCAGAGCCTTTGTAACTAACACATTCTTTGATCACTCCAAAAGCTTTGAATTTATTTCTGATTTCCTCCTCTGTTGTCCCTCGCCTCACTTTCCTAATTGTTACAGTGTCACTTTGATCTGGGAACAGTAAAGTCTTTACATTCCCTCCCAGACCAAAGAGAGCTCTAAATCCACTCTGGCTATTCCCAGAACTCTTCACAAAAGGAACTTCTGCTTCTTCCTGGTGCAACGTGTTGAGCACATCAGCCTTCAAAATCTGAAGATGCCTGATGGTTTCCTGACTCATGGGAGAAGAAGAGTAAACATCCAAAGTGCCCAAGTACCTATCAGCTTCCACCATAACATTGGCCATACCAGATTGTGCCAGGGTATCTTCAAGGCTCTGTAGCTTCACATACAGAGGACCAACCATACAGTTAAAAACTGAGGCACCAACCTCTTCCCTGTGCACTAGCTGGCTTTTACAAATGTTGGCCTTTTTCATTTTGCCTTTCTGTATAACCTCTAAGACCCAGTCTTCCTCAACTATTGTAATTCCTTGTATAAAATCTTTGTGTGTTTTTAAATAGTTGGTATAAACTAGCCATTGTGGTTGGACTTGACTATCAGCTAAAGTAGAAGCTGGGTCAATATTCACCTGGCGATTCAGTGAGAGTGAAAAGAAACTGCCGCCTACATGGTCCATGCTCTGACACACATTGGAAACATAGGCATTAAAAACAATTTTTCTTAGTTTCTGGATGCAGGATGGATCTTGGGAGAAATTGGAATCAAGCTTAAGATTCATGGAGTTTTCTACAATAGTCGCTATTTCAGCAATACAGATTTTAACAATGTGCAGCACTTTGTGGCTGATGTTATGCTTTTTACAGACTTTAAGTCTCTCTTTTGGAGGACTTGTGATCCACAGACGGTACAGCTCAAACCAGCTAAAGAGATCTCCATAAGGGGAGATGGCGCCTGTATCAGCTGGTACCTGAGAGCCAGCAAATATGTCCATCCCACTGTTGATTAGTGCAGCCAGAACTACAGACTCATACAGAAGATTCTGTTTATAGCCTTCATAAATGAGATATCCCTGACTGGGCTCAAAAGGTAGCAGTGAAATCCATCGGCCTAACTCTTTCAGTCCAATGTAGGAAAATGCTCCAAAATCTTGCAGGCGGCTTAGTGCTGATTCAAAAGCTTCCATGGGAGGTGGTTTAATAAAGTTAAAGGTGACATAATCTATTTTCATCTCTGTAAGTTTGAGGAAAGGTTTGGCTAAATTTTCTTTCAACAAACCAGGATCACTGACAGCCTTCATTGTGTTATAACTTTCTTCAGTGTAGAGTCTGTAGCATTTGCCAGTAGCTGCTAGTCCAGCGATTGTTTTTCTCTGATCAGCACAGCTCCTGCTAATGATGTGTGTAGCTAGACTATGTATCTTTTTCCTGTGCTCATACTTCATTTCTTTTACCAGACCTGTGTCTATGACGTATTTGATTCCACCTATAGGGAATACAGTTTCTGCACAATTTGTGGCCAGAACAATTTTTCTAACACTTTCTGGCAACTTCTGGAGCACTTTTTTAAGCTCATCTGGAGAAACTTGGTCATGCAGAGGAAAACATTTGAAGTTGTTCATGCCTACTAACTGCCTTTCTAACTCTTCACAGCATCTTAGAACTTCTGCTGGAGATGCCAAGAAGACCAGAACATCCCCTGGACCTTCAGTCTTGTGCACATGGATGGCTTTAGAAACAGCTCTCATCTCATGATCTTCAAACTCCACTGAATCCTCATTACCTTCATACACAACCTCCACAGAAAATGGCTTCCCTGATACCTCCAGCACTGAAGATGTTTCAAAGTACTGACAGAAGATGTCAGAATCCTGCAGAGCTGAAAGAATTACCAGCTTCAAGTCTTGTCTATTAGCCAAACTTTCCTTGATCAGACCTAGTACAATATCAGTGTAAACGCTACGTTCATTTGCTTCATCCACTATGATGCAGGAGTACTTTGACAAAACAGGATCGTGGATGTACTCGTTTAACAGACAGAGGTCTGTAGAATATATAATTTTACTGTAGTCTGCGACCAGCCTTTTGATACCATTGTCATAACCAACCAAGTGGCCAGGTTTTTCACCCAACTCTTTAGCCACACATTCAGCAAGATTTATGGCCGCCACTTTACGAGGCTGTGTACAGATGATAGCACCACTTCCTGCTAGACCAGCCTCGTACAGGTACTGGGCTATCTGGGTACTTTTTCCTGAGCCTGTCTCACCAAGTATGACAGAGACTTGATTTTTTTTCACCAGGTCCACAATGTCCTTCTTCTTTGCATATACAGGCAGTCCTGCAGCTAAACGGTTGCATTCTGTCACTGTCTCTTGGTGGAAAACTTTCAATATCTCGTTAGAAATGTTTGAGTTTTTAATCTTTTCTTGAAAAACTTTCCTCCAATCTTCAAAAACACATTTTTGTTTGATTGCTTCTTGTAATTTATTTCTGAATGCCAATATTTCATCTTCATCTTCATCATTCTGTTGTCCAACTCTTACATTTGAATTTGCCTGTATGATATTAAAAGCTTTTTCATAATTCTCTATTTTATTTTGATGATTTTCTAATGCCTGAAGACACATCTTTTCTACATTTTCAAATATCTGATCGTGAAGTGTCTTAGTATCTTTTGCTGTTTTATCTGATGCAATGTTTGATCTGACAACCACATCATCAAGCTGAAACGCGTTTAACTTTTTAACTATCCTTGCAGCAGCTGCCTTGCTAGGGGCCAAGAGATCCAACAGTGTCTTAGTGGCTGACATTGCAATGGATTCTTCAACAACTTGAAAAGAATCTGTTTTTTCATCTGTTGCTTTCCTCATGAATTCATGTACGCTGTTCTTGTCTGTGAAACTTCTGCCAATTGTTACAACAATCTTTGTGGGGATAGGTGTTGGAGTTTTTTCTTTGATGCAACTTTTTGCTGAAGGTGTTTGTGCAAAGTCACTTTTAACATCTTCGACATTCTCAATAACAAAGTTTGACTCGAAAGTTCCAGAATAATGGCCAATATTTGAGAGAATGTCAGCTGCCTTTTGGCGTCTTCTATCGATTGGTCTAGATGGACGTGGCATTTCTTCTTGCTTGGCTGCCATGTCATCTTCTGAGCTGGAGATGACAAAAGATACTTTAGCTCCAAGTTTTTTTCTAATATTTTGGCACAAATTCTTCACCACACGTTTGGCTAACTGCTTGCTATCTGTCTGAATGATCAGAGTACAAAGCCCTCTGTTTTCTCCACAGATGATTGAATCTCTGACAAAATCAACGTCCACTTTATCTGAAGTTTCTAAACTTAGTTTGACTGTCTCCTTCAGATGGCTGGCTGAGGTGAAGGTGGATAGGATTTCTAACTCAGCTGTTATGCTACGAAAAGTTAAAGATGGTAAACCTTCACTTGTATATCCTCCACCACTCCGAACATGCTCTCCTCGTAAACTTGAATCTCGAGATGAGTAATTTAAATCAGCTCTGTTTACGTTTGATGTAGTGTCTTTATTTGTTTGGTGGCTTTCCCCGAAGGGAGATTGACCATTGCCAGCTCGCGCTCGGCCGCTCCATCCATCTTTGCTTCGAACATCCCACGGATTGCTTTCTGTCTTGTCACACACCCGATCGTTGAAGTTTTTGTACAGCACCCGATCAGATTTAGCACTTTCGTTACTGCTAGTCGAAGGGTTCCGCGTGCCGCGATATCTGGCAGGATTCGAATTTAAGCTACACGACTGAGCTCGTGGAGACCTAACGTAGCCGTCTTCTGGGTCTAACGACGTTCTGTCATAGCGACTTCTGGGGTTGTCAGGAGGTTGGTTAAAATATAGAGATTCATATGATGGGGGGAGGTCATCTTGATTAGATCGCTGATTAGAAGCTGCACGATGGTCGTGGGCAGCATGGGCACGGCTCCTGGGGTATCGTCTGTTGAACTGAGTGCGTTGAAAATTATTCTTGGTGGGTTTACGTCCTCGGTAATGAGATTCGCTTGGGCTTGGTCTATCTACAAAAGTACGAAGATGGGGAGCTGCATTTCTCTGATGTAGAGGTTCACCGAGATTCCGATCTTCATTATATTCTTGTTGTGAGGGCCCACAAAGATAGGGGTCATTGTTATATCCTTGATGTGGGCTTCCAACACGATTGGGATTGCCCCAATATCGTTGTGGGGGCCCACTAAGATTAAAGGGACGATCTCCCTGATATGAAGGCCCACCGAGTATAGAACCGCCACCTCGATGATGTGAGAGCCCACCAAAATTATTATATCCTTGATGGGGCAGCACGCCATGAGAGGGGTGGCCATATCCTTGATGTGGGGGCCCATCATTTCTATTATAGCCGTATACACTTTGATTACCTGTACGAAAGCGCCCAACAAGCGGACCTTTATACAAGCTAGGGTTTGACGAATGTCGTGGGCCGCCAACTGGGGCTCGAACGTCCATGGGAGCAGGGTACACAAAAGGCGGTGCTTGATTGGGGTTTGCGTACGGCTCATTGGGAAACCGATGCGGGTTTTGGTAATTAGAGGCCCCACCGGTGAACAGTCCAGGGCGACAATCGCGAGCAGGAAACCTTCCGCCCCCACCCCTCGGGTTATTGTGACGGTGAGTCATGGCAGCTCTTACAGATACTAAGTCTAGGATATCTGTTTTAACTTTCGACAATCCTGATAGCTGACCACGCCACTTAAATCTTTCTGAACACTTAGGCGGTTCTTCTGTTGACCATTAGAAACCATTATTCTGTTGATGAAATCAAGGCAAAAGTTTAATAATACAGCCAAGCTATAAACTACAGATAAATTGTATGAGTCAAGCTATCAACGAAATTTCTAATGGGGGGGGGGGGTAATAGTGCAACGCTGGCTCAACTCAGTTAACCTTTATCTAGATACAAAAATAACAGATAGTTAACTCATCACTTAGCTGCGTTAAATGAAGATAAATAATTGGAAAACACTCAACAATGTAACTTTTACAACTTACAACAACAAAAAACTAAAGACATCAAAAGGGGTCATCCATTTATGACGTCCACAAATTTTTGGGATTTCGGACCCCCACCCCCCGTCCACAAATATCCACTTATTTCCCTTATAAAACTCCATAGGCGTCCGCAAAAGTCAATTTTTCTCGGACCCCCCCCCCCCCTCCCCCCCCCCCCCCCCCCCCACGTGTGGACGTCATAAATGGATGAGCCCAAACTAAACCTAACATACGCTTCACCACGATTTGTGCACAGAAGAAAAGTTTCAACTTCCCGCCTTCAACCCAAGTACACCCATTGACATATTACGCATCAAACAGATATTCCCTAAAATTGATGACTCCAAATAAAATCTATATATATAATTCTTGTCACAGACTGTATGAGTAGGTGTGTGAGTAGGTGTGTGAGTAGGTGTATGTAGGTGTGTGAGTAGGTGTATGAGTAGGTGTATGAGTAGGTGTGTGAGTAGGTGTGTGAGTAGGTGTATGTAGGTGTGTGAGTAGGTGTACGTAGGTGTGTGAGTAGGTGTATGTAGGTGTGTGAGTAGGTGTGTGAGTAGGTGTGTGAGTAGGTGTATGTAGGTGTGTGAGTAGGTGTATGAGTAGGTGTATGAGTAGGTGTGTGAGTAGGTGTGTGAGTAGGTGTATGTAGGTGTGTGAGTAGGTGTATGTAGGTGTGTGAGTAGGTGTATGAGTAGGTGTGTGAGTAGGTGTGTGAGTAGGTGTATGTAGGTGTGTGAGTAGGTGTGTGTAGATGTGTGAGTAGGTGTGTGAGTAGGTGTGTGAGTAGGTGTGTGAGTAGGTGTGTGAGTAGGTGTGTGAGTAGGTGTGCGAGTAGGTGTATGTAGGTGTGTGAGTAGGTGTGTGAGTAGGTGTGTGTAGATGTGTGAGTAGGTGTGTGAGTAGGTGTGTGAGTAGGTGTGTGTAGATGTGTGAGTAGGTGTGTGAGTAGGTGTGTGAGTAGGTGTGTGAGTAGGTGTGTGAGTAGGTGTATGAGTAGGTGTGTGAGTAGGTGTGTGAGTAGGTGTGTGAGTAGGTGTGTGAGTAGGTGTGTGAGTAGGTGTGTGTAGATGTGTGAGTAGGTGTATGTAGGTGTGTGAGTAGGTGTGTGAGTAGGTGTGTGTAGATGTGTGAGTAGGTGTGTGAGTAGGTGTGTGAGTAGGTGTGTGTAGATGTGTGAGTAGGTGTGTGAGTAGGTGTGTGAGTAGGTGTATGTAGGTGTGTGAGTAGGTGTGTGAGTAGGTGTGTGAGTAGGTGTGTGAGTAGGTGTGTGAGTAGGTGTGTGAGTAGGTGTGTGAGTAGGTGTATGTAGGTGTGTGAGTAGGTGTGTGAGTAGGTGTGTGAGTAGGTGTGTGAGTAGGTGTGTGAGTAGGTGTGTGAGTAGGTGTGTGAGTAGGTGTGTGAGTAGGTGTGTGAGTAGGTGTATGTAGGTGTGTGAGTAGGTGTGTGAGTAGGTGTGTGAGTAGGTGTGTGAGTAGGTGTATGTAGGTGTGTGAGTAGGTGTGTGAGTAGGTGTATGTAGGTGTGTGAGTAGGTGTGTGAGTAGGTGTATGTAGGTGTTTGAGTAGGTGTGTGAGTAGGTGTGTGAGTAGGTGTGTGAGTAGGTGTATGTAGGTGTGTGAGTAGGTGTGTGAGTAGGTGTATGTAGGTGTTTGAGTAGGTGTGTGAGTAGGTGTGTGAGTAGGTGTGTGAGTAGGTGTATGTGTGTGGGTAGGTGTGTGAGTAGGTGTATGTAGGTGCGTGAGTAGGTGTGTGAGTAGGTGTATGTGTGTGGGTAGGTGTGTGAGTAGGTGTATGTAGGTGCGTGAGTAGGTGTGTGAGTAGGTGTGTGAGTAGGTGTGTGAGTAGGTGTATGTAGGCGTGTGAGTAGGTGTGTGAGTAGGTGTGTGAGTAGGTGTGTGAGTAGGTGTATGTAGGTGTGTGAGTAGGAGTGTGAGTAGGTGTGTGAGTAGGTGTGTGTAGGTGTGTGGGTAGGTGTGTGAGTAGGTGTGTGAGTAGGTGTATGCAGGTATGTGAGTAGGTGTACGTAGGTGTGTGAGTAGGTGTATGAGTAGGTGACTTTGGCCGAGTTTCACCTTCGATCATTATGGCTGTAGCTAGAATCTCTTTAGCCGCAGATAAACTGTAATGTCTACAGCAAGTATGGCACCAAGTATGACATAAAGTATGGCACCAAGTATGGCACCAAGTATGGCACCAAGTATGACATCACGTATAACACCAAATATGACATAAAGTATAACACCAAGTATGGCACCAAGTATGACATTAAGTATGACACCAAGCATGACATAAAGTATGGCAACAAGTAGGACATCATGGACGACATAAAGTATGACATAAAGTATGGCACCAAGTATGACACCAAGCATGACACCAAGTATGGCACCAAGTATGACACCAAGTATGGCACCAAGTATGGCACCAAGTATGGCAACAAGTATGACACCAAGTATGGCACCAAGTATGACATTAAGTATGACAAAAAGCATGACATAAAGTATGGCAACAAGTAGGACATCATGGACGACATAAAGTATGACATAAAGTATGGCACCAAGTATGAAATCAAGCATGACACCAAGTATGACACCAAGTGTGACTCTAAGTATGAAATCAAGTATGATATCTAGAATGGCACCAAGTATGACACCAAATAAAGCCAAATAACTCCCGACTTTAAAGAAAGTAATTTTAGCATAATTTTATTTTAAAATATGCTTACTCATTAATTTAATGAGATTGTTGTAACTATAGGCCTATATTGCCAGCTTCGACATTCGCGGCTCTCACCCTCAACACTAGCCATCCTCAACATTGTAATCATTAAGCTTTGATTGTTTTTAATGGAGCATTGCAATAATTAAGTTTTGATTGTTTTTAATGGAGCATTGCAATCATTAAGTTTTGATTGTTTTTTACGGAGCATTGCAATCATTAAGTTTTGATTGTTTTTAATGGAGCATTGGAATTATTAAGTTTTGATTGTTTTTAATGGAACATTGCAATCATTAAGTTTTGATTGTTTTTAATGGAGCATTGCAATCATTAAGTTTTGATTGTTTTTAATGGAGCATTGCAATCATTAAGTTTTGATTGTTTTTAATGGAGCATTGCAATCATTAAGTTTTGATTGTTTTTAATGGAGCATTGGAATTATTAAGTTTTGATTGTTTTTAATGGAACATTGCAATCATTAAGTTTTGATTGTTTTTAATGCAGCATTGCAATCATTAAGTTTTGATTGTTTTTAATGGAGCATTGGAATCATTAAGTTTTGATTGTTTTTAAATGGAGCATTGCAATCATTAAGTTTTGATTGTTTTTAATGGAGCATTGCAATCATTAAGTTTTGATTGTTTTTAATGGAGCATTGCAATCATTAAGTTTTGATTGTTTTTAATGGAGCATTGCAATCATTAAGTTTTGATTGTTTTTAATGGAGCATTGCAATCATTAAGTTTTGAATGTTTTTAATGGAGCATTGCAATCATTAAGTTTTGATTGTTTTTAATGGAGCATTGGAATCATTAAGTTTTGATTGTTTTTAATGGAACATTGCAATCATTAAGTTTTGATTGTTTTTAATGCAGCATTGCAATCATTAAGTTTTGATTGTTTTTAAGGGGTCAGCGTGGTCGAGTCGGTAAAGCTCATGGTTGCTAAACCGAAAAGTCTCGAGTTCGAACCCTCGGGCAGATGAGGCTCGTTAGCTGGGGACAGCCACTCTTCTAGGAGAGACAACTCCAAAATTAAACAACTGCTGCCTTGTAGTTTGTTCTTGGTTGGACAAAGGCTATGGAAGCAAATCCAAAAAGAAAAGCAGGCTGAAATCGGAGTCAATGGCCTCAATGGCGCATAACCAGTTGACACGTAACGCTTAATTGTGTTGGAGGCGTGGTCGAGTCGGCAAAAAGCTCATGGTTGATAAATTCGAACAAAAGTCTCGAGTTCAAACCCACTGGCAGATAAATCTCGATTCCCTTCAACACTAATAATTAAGAACGAAGAAGAAGAAGAAGAAGATTGTTTTTAATGGAGCATTGGAATCATTAAGTTTTGATTGTTTTTAAATGGAGCATTGCAATCATTAAGTTTTGATTGTTTTTAATGGAGCATTGCAATCATTAAGTTTTGATTGTTTTTAATGGAGCATTGGAATTATTAAGTTTTGATTGTTTTTAATGGAACATTGCAATCATTAAGTTTTGATTGTTTTTAATGCAGCATTGCAATCATTAAGTTTTGATTGTTTTTAATGGAGCATTGGAATCATTAAGTTTTGATTGTTTTTAAATGGAGCATTGCAATCATTAAGTTTTGATTGTTTTTAATGGAGCATTGCAATCATTAAGTTTTGATTGTTTTTAATGGAGCATTGGAATCATTAAGTTTTGATTGTTTTTAATGGAACATTGCAATCATTAAGTTTTGATTGTTTTTAATGCAGCATTGCAATCATTAAGTTTTGATTGTTTTTAAGGGGTCAGCGTGGTCGAGTCGGTAAAGCTCATGGTTGCTAAACCGAAAAGTCTCGAGTTCGAACCCTCGGGCAGATGAGGCTCGTTAGCTGGGGACAGCCACTCTTCTAGGAGAGACAACTCCAAAATTAAACAACTGCTGCCTTGTAGTTTGTTCTTGGTTGGACAAAGGCTATGGAAGCAAATCCAAAAAGAAAAGCAGGCTGAAATCGGAGTCAATGGCCTCAATGGCGCATAACCAGTTGACACGTAACGCTTAATTGTGTTGGAGGCGTGGTCGAGTCGGCAAAAAGCTCATGGTTGATAAATTCGAACAAAAGTCTCGAGTTCAAACCCACTGGCAGATAAATCTCGATTCCCTTCAACACTAATAATTAAGAACGAAGAAGAAGAAGAAGAAGATTGTTTTTAATGGAGCATTGGAATCATTAAGTTTTGATTGTTTTTAAATGGAGCATTGCAATCATTAAGTTTTGATTGTTTTTAATGGAGCATTGCAATCATTAAGTTTTGATTGTTTTTAATGGAGCATTGGAATTATTAAGTTTTGATTGTTTTTAATGGAACATTGCAATCATTAAGTTTTGATTGTTTTTAATGCAGCATTGCAATCATTAAGTTTTGATTGTTTTTAATGGAGCATTGGAATCATTAAGTTTTGATTGTTTTTAAATGGAGCATTGCAATCATTAAGTTTTGATTGTTTTTAATGGAGCATTGCAATCATTAAGTTTTGATTGTTTTTAATGGAGCATTGCAATCATTAAGTTTTGATTGTTTTTAATGGAGCATTGCAATCATTAAGTTTTGATTGTTTTTAATGGAGCATTGCAATCATTAAGTTTTGAATGTTTTTAATGGAGCATTGCAATAATTAAGTTTTGAATGTTTTTAATGGAGCATTGCAATCATTAAGTTTTGATTGTTTTTAATGGAGCATTGGAATCATTAAGTTTTGATTGTTTTTAATGGAACATTGCAATCATTAAGTTTTGATTGTTTTTAATGCAGCATTGCAATCATTAAGTTTTGATTGTTTTTAATGGAACATTGCAATCATTAAGTTTTGATTGTTTTTAATGCAGCATTGCAATCATTAAGTTTTGATTGTTTTTAATGGAGCATTGGAATAATTAAGTTTTGATTGTTTTTAAATGGAGCATTGCAATCATTAAGTTTTGATTGTTTTTAATGGAGCATTGCAATCATTAAGTTTTGATTGTTTTTAATGGAGCATTGCAATCATTAAGTTTTGATTGTTTTTAATGGAGCATTGCAATCATTAAGTTTTGATTGTTTTTAATGGAGCATTGCAATCATTAAGTTTTGAATGTTTTTAATGGAGCATTGCAATCATTAAGTTTTGAATGTTTTTAATGGAGCATTGCAATCATTAAGTTTTGATTGTTTTTAATGGAGCATTGGAATCATTAAGTTTTGATTGGTTTTAATGGAACATTGCAATCATTAAGTTTTGATTGTTTTTAATGCAGCATTGCAATCATTAAGTTTTGATTGTTTTTAATGGAGCATTGGAATCATTAAGTTTTGATTGTTTTTAATGGAACATTGCAATCATTAAGTTTTGATTGTTTTTAATGCAGCATTGCAATCATTAAGTTTTGATTGTTTTTAATGGAGCATTGGAATCATTAAGTTTTGATTGTTTTTAAATGGAGCATTGCAATCATTAAGTTTTGATTGTTTTTAATGCAGCATTGCAATCATTAAGTTTTGATTGTTTTTAAATGGAGCATTGCAATCATTAAGTTTTGATTGTTTTTAAATGGAGAAGTATTGAGAAATCACCTCGCCGATATATGTAGACACAATGGGAACTAACACTCGAAAGGCAAGCGTCGTCAGATTTGGAAATCAATTATTCATGCCACACCAACAGTGTGAGTTTTCAGGACACAATTTAAAATAAGTTACGGGCAGAGTAGGCCTAATTATTCCGCTAATCCAAGAATATATCGGCGAACACGAATTTGGTCTTACTTTAACTATTCGGCGAACTTGGTCTTCAACTATTCGGCGAACACGAATTTGGTCTTACTTTAACCATTCGGCGAACTTGGTCTCTAACTATTCGGCGAACACGAACGTGGTCTTTAACTATTCGGCGAACACGAACTAGGCCTTAAGCAGCAGGCAACTTCCACTAGTATCAATAGAAATCTCAGGTTGCGGGGGGTCAGGTTACACTCCACGGGGAGCAGGGCCGCGCCACGACGCTTCACTCTAGGTACGATATCAGGCCCCCCCCCCTCCCCCCGCCGCCCCGTCTTGAACCCGTCTAGCATTACACCGTGCGCCTGCGCGCCTGTAGACGGCGAGGTGCTGTTCTAGACTCCACTCCCCGGCTGACTCCACTCGCCAGCTGACTCCACTCGCGCGCGCTGGTCTGCGCTGACTGGCGGGCAAAACAACAAAACACACGTGATAAATCGCTGGTTGATCGACTACAACCCTCAGTGGTTGGCTAACATCACAAGTTGATCGACTACAACCCTAGCAACCCTACAGGTTGGCTAACATCGCTGGTGATCGACTAACCACTGACTTGCGGGATAAGATAACGCAACTAAAAACAAAACCAATCAAACTGCACCACTGAGTATTTGATTGTGCAATGGGAATTACAACCAGTTCTAAAAACAGACCCTTGTGTCGTGTAAGTATGTTTTGACGTGGAAACTTAAAAAATAAATATTTAAACTTTAAACCGGTATTTATCTTCAATGCATTTTAAAATATCAAATGTCATAGTGATTTATAGTTAGGAATTATATCAAATGTCATAGTCATTTGTATTTAGGAATTATTTATAAACACTCTTGATGGTTTTAATTAAAAGTTTTTATAACCTATCAAAGATACTTTGATTTCAACATACCCTTCATATGATACCTATTTTTAAAAACTCATACTCAGACTGTGAGCAAAACCTTTTTTTTTTCACGTCTTCAATGTTCTTTTTAATGTAATGGTTTTACAGTGAGTGGTGGACAGATTCGTTTAGATCGTGGTATCGGTTGTCAGCCTCGCGTCTGGCAGACGGTGTAGTGTTACGACAGTCTGTCATTGGTTTTGGCTTACGACAGCACCAGACAGAGTTGTTGATTATTTTCTAATTATTCAACTTTTAATATTTTTTTTAGTAGGTAACGTTCATTTCATAATGTCAAACTAATATCCTGTATTAAAAAGAGACGTGTATTCGATACTGGCTGTGGAAGGGATCGATGCTCTAAATCTGAAGCTTTGAAATCTGTGTGTAGCTTCCCTTGTCTCTTGTAGGTCCGCTTATTTCAGTCGCAACTATTTTCTCATTGACAAACACCCGTCTCACTTGACGGCGCTTCTTGCTCGTAGGATATTAATGGTCATTTATTATTAGTCTAACATTGTATTTTTATTTTATTTGTGTTTATAGGCCTACTCATTTAAATAGTTTTAAAATGTGCAACTAACTTAATTCATTGATCACTAGAATTAGAGTGAGTTATTTTTGTATGTATTTTATTTATGGATAAGAATATAGCTTATGTATATTTATTCAATGTATTTATAAGAATATCACTTGCTTGTGTATATGCAATCGCCGTGTGTGTATACGTTTATCACTTGTATGTGTATGTGTAATCACTGTGTGTGTACTTATATCACTTGCCTGTGTATGTATAATAACTCTGCATATACGTATATGACCTGAATGTGTATGTGTAATCACTGTGTGTGTACTTATATCACTTGCCTGTGTATGTATAACTCTGCATATACGTATATGACGTGTATGTGTAATCACTGTGTGTCAGGGGCGGAACTACAGTGCCGCCAGACCCCGCAATGCGGGGGGGCCCGCGCCATTTAGGGGCCCAGAGCCGACCATAATAAATTTTTTATGGTTAAAAAAAGTAAATTTTCTTTCATTTTTGACTTGATGGTTGTTTTGTAAAAAAAAATTACCGTAGCTGCGGTTGGATTATCTTTATTCTGTAGACACCACCCCACGCTCTTGTATCTTCTTTTTTCCTTTGTTTTTAAACCACTGTGAAAGCCGAGTCTTTCTCCTACAATTAAACTTATCAAAGATAAGCAAATGTTCAAACCACTTCCATGACTTATTTCCCTTATTCTTAAAATAGTCAAATAAGGGGGATCATAAGCTATTTTTAATAGATTCGTACTAAACAAATTAAAAAGCAATTACTTCTCTTAATTATTATTTTTTATAAGTAATTTTAAATAACAACATTTTATAAAAAGTAAATGTTTTAAATCAATAACACTTAAAAAATTAATAATATAAATACAAAAAAAACATAAAATAAACATAACACGAGAAACCATTACTTATACAAAGCTTTCATGTTTTATATTTTTTGATCGACTATCAAAAGTTAGTCCATACTAATTGTCACTAAACAAACTAATGCACTTAAACCAGGGGTCGGCAACCTGCGGCTCGCGAGCCGCATGCGGCTCCTTTGATGTCAAGATGCGGCTCTCCAGTTCCATGAACAAATATTAATAGTTATTTTATTTTCAAAACTCATTAAAAATATTACAAAGAAAAACAACCTTAAATAGAATAAAAACACTCAGCAGAGAACAATGAGAGTAGGTGAGGTAGAAAGTATACGGACAGCTGACAGCCTATTGGGCACCATGCCCAGCCCCAAAGCCGTGATGTGACCAGCACAGTGGCGACGGATCCATTCTTGCCACTACTCAAGTGCCGACTTTTTCGAATATCGTTTAATGGGGAATCTTATTTTATACAGAATGCATTTAGCAGTAATATGCATTAATTTGACCTGACTAACGTGTTTTTTTTTAGTTATTGGCTTCCTACGGTTGAGTGGGGTTATGGACGGTGGGGTACGCGTTTACCCTGCATTCAGTGGGGTGGAAGATAAGCCTGGTGAGAACCGAAGACAGAAGCGACCGATACCCAAGCCAGTAAGTGGGAGTTGGTCGTGTTGAGGCCTGCCTGGCTATGGGAGACACCCCCTTGGCCAGTAGTGTCCAATTAGAAAGAAAAAAAGTCAGTAGCTTCTAAAGTGGATTGGGATAGTTGTATAGATATATTATTTGTTTACTAATTTTAATACTTTAATATGTTTTGTGTGAAATATTAGTATGTTTTTAAGTATAACCATTCTTTCATATTTAAAGCTATTTATTTCAAAGTCAAATTTATATATCTAATCCTAATCAAGTACCAAAATACTGAAATGTGAAAAATGTTTGTGGCTCTTTAAAAACTGGGAACTTTTGAAAATTGTAACTTTTGACTCTTCCGGCTCAAAAGGTTGCCGACCCCTGACTTAAACACATGACATAATGTTGAATTCTGTTTTTAAATTGATGTTTTTCAAATCCCGAACAGGCCAGCAATGAGTATCCTATGTTCGTATTTTGTGATTGTTAATATATATATATATATATATATATATATATATATATATATATATATATATATATATATATATATATATATATATATATATATATATATATATATATGGGGGGGCCTAAAATTTTTTTTTGCGGGGTGGCCCCTTTTTTCTAGTTCCGCCACTGCTGTGTGTACGTAATTCACTTGTCTGTGTATGTATAATAACTCTGTGTATACGTATATGACCTGTATGTGTATGTGTAATCACTGTGTGTACATAATTCACTTGCCTGTGTATGTATAATAACTCTGTATATACGTATATCACCTATATGTGTATGTGTTGACTGGTTGTGTGCAAACATTTCATGGATAACTGCTGTTTCTCCACAGGCTACTATGGATACATGTCTCAGGATGGATACAGTAGTTTCAGACTGGATATAATAGTCTCAGATTGGATATATTAAATTTCAGATTGGATAATCTCAGACTGGATACAAAATGGATGCTATAGTGTATTTGGTCTGAGGTCTCAAACAAAACTAAAAAAAAAAATCTAGATTAACATTTTGTATTGTGTTAGCTACGGTTGTTTACAAAAAAATAAACATCTGTCTTACAGTTGTGATTAACGTCAGCCTATTTTCATAAGGTTACCTCTCGTGAGTAATGAATTCCTTCCCTTGGCTAACCAGACTGCTAGGAACTTGAATGCAATCAAATGGAGGAGCGTCCCCACACTGCCTCCTTTTCTAACCAAGGAAAGTGTTCCGAGCTTCTAGACCCCAGTTCTAACATGTCGCAGAACTCTGAATCCGCGGACGTGTGTCGTCACGAGGAAGCAGCCGAGGACTTGTCCCCGGTACCTGTCAAGACGTCCCGCTTGGTTCTGGAATCTTCCAGTGTCGGCACCAGAGCTCCCTGCAGCCTTGACCCCAGCCCTGGACACCAGGGTTCTTGTGATATCCCGAGCTCTGTATCTCCGACAGTGGAGAGCTCGACCTCTAACGGGACGCCACGTGACAAGGTCAAGCTGACCAACCCGCAGCACGTGTCTGCTGTACCGGCAAGTTCGCCTCCAAATTTTTTATCTGTACCTGCCAAGTCGACCTCTCCACGTGTAAAGTCGCCTGCATGCAGGGGCAGCCTGCCATCGCCTGCCTGCAGGAGCAGTGTCGCCATCAAAACAGAGCCCCAGGATGACATCAAGGTGAGTAACCCACATGACCCACATGACCCTTATGACCCACAAACCCACATGACCCTCATGACCCTCATGACCCACATGACACCCATGACCCACATGACCCACGTTTGGAAATGTCATTTTTCTTCTGTTTTGTAAACTCTTTATAACAGCTGACCCTTGCTTACCTAACCAAAATTAGATACACGCATCAGCAATCATTTTAAAAAGAGAATTAAATGAAGGGCCTCAGCACAGATGTTAGGTCAGTGACGACCAACTTTTTCTAGGAATATTTTTTTCTTTGCATGTTTTTCTGCTTGATCTTTCTTTTACACCGCTGCCCAATTTCCTAAGCTCATAAACTTCATTAGTTGTCAATGTAATAATTGGCTAATTATTCTCACAATCAAATTGAATCATGTTGATTGGCAATTAGAAAGAATATATATATATATATATATATATATATATATATATATATATATATATATATATATATATATATACATACATATAAAATATGATTCAAAATGCTGTCACCATCAGCTTCTTAAAATATACATTTTTAAATGCAGCACAATATAAACATTATGGTAACTATTGAGACACAATATCAACACCATGACAACTAATTAACAACACAATATCAACACCATGGCAACTAATTAACAACACAATATCAACACCATGGCAACTAATTAACAACACAATATCAACACCATGGCAACTAATTAACAACAAAATATCAACACCATGGCAACTAATTAACAACACAATATCAACACCATGGCAACTAATTAACAACACAATATCAACACCATGACAACTAATTAACAACACAATATCAACACCATGGCAACTAATTAACAACACAATATCAACACCATGGCAACTAATTAACAACAAAATATCAACACCATGGCAACTAATTAACAACACAATATCAACACCATGGCAACTAATTAACAACACAATATCAACACCATGGCAACTAATTAACAACACAATATCAACACCATGACAACTAATTAACAACACAATATCAACACCATGGCAACTAATTAACAACACAATATCAACACCATGGCAACTAATTAACAACACAATATCAACACCATGGCAACTAATTAACAACACAATATCAACACCATGGCAACTAATTAACAACACAATATCAACACCATGGCAACTAATTAACAACACAATATCAACACCATGGCAACTAATTAACAACACAATATCAACACTATGGCAACTAATTAACAACACAATATCAACACCATGGCAACTAATTAACAACACAATATCAACACTATGGCAACCATTGAGACACAATATCAACTGTAGATCAACACCCATGTTAAGTGTTGATTCAAACTGTTTGTTGGTTGACTTTTCTGTACTGTAGATGTCTAACAAAAAACAGTGAAGTGTATGATTACACGTGAGAACTCATTAGAGAGATTTCATTTAGAAAATGAGAATAGATTTGACGTCAGTGGCAAAAGTTGGATCAGTTGGTTGGTGGTTAAGTCATCCCTTGAGATCTGGGCTGCTAAATCAACTGATCTGACAATTTTCTAGTACTCGCCCTCGCTCTCACATTTCCTCCCTCCTTACCTCCCCCTCTCCCTCCCTCCCTCCCTTGTCCACCCTTTCTACAAGGCACTATTCGAACATTACTGCAACACATGGGGACATCAGCGCAACATTACTGTAACATACAGGGACATTGACGCAATATAACTGCAACATATGGGGACATTAGCGCAACATTACTGCAAGATACAGGGATATTGACGCAATATAACTGCAACATATGGGGACATTAGCGCAACATTACTGCAAGATACAGGGATATTGACGCAATATAACTGCAACATATGGGGACATTAGCGCAACATTACTGCAAGATACAGGGACATTGACGCAACATTATTGCAACATATGGGGACATATAGTGCAACATTACTGCAACATATGGGGGCCATTGGAGCAATATTACTGCAACATATAGGGACATTGACGCAACATTACTGCAACATATGGGGACATTAGCAAGGTTAATACCAGACCAAATTTGCGCTAGAGATTATGAAATAGGAACCGCTTGCACAAAGGATTTTGTTTATGGCGTAAAATAATAGCTTTCCTCTGGGGTGTCGTGTTTCTAGCCTATACCAGAACAGAGGTTCTTTCTTCACTGGCAGGCTTAGAACTGGAGCTAATGTAAATAGGGAGAGCCCTGGACGGTTTGGAGCCGGGGTAACTCCAGACGTTTGCTGGTGCAGGGAATACGCTGGAGTTAATGGGCATGACTTGCTGAGTGTGCTGTAACCATAACCAACGAGTAAATATGATACTCGATACCGCGATATGATGAACTCATTAATTGGAGTAGGTGTGTTGGGGTTGAATTCCATGACTAGAGGTGTTTGTTTACGTGCTAGTTATGCCCGTGATGTTTGCTAGATGCTAGTGGTGCCCTCGATGTTTGCTAGATGCTAGTGGTGCCCTCAATGTTTGCTAGATGCTAGTGGTGCCCTCAATGTTTGCTAGATGCTAGTGGTGCCCTCGATGTTTGCTAGATGCTAGTGGTGCCCTTGATGTTTGCTAGATGCTAGTGGTGCCCTCAATGTTTGCTAGATGCTAGTGGTGCCCTCAATGTTTCCTAGATGCTAGTGGTGCCCTAGATGTTTGCTAGATGCTAGTGGTGCCCTCGATGTTTTCTAGATGCTTGTGGTGCCCTGATTCAATGTTCTCCACACGTTTTCAACATTCCTCACTCTCGGATCCAGTTCTCCCACCCCCCCCCCACCCCCACCCATTCTCGGATCCAGTCCTGCCTACCCCTATCCCCCTATCGAGGAAAACTCGTATATCCCACCAAGCATAAGACATCTGCACCCAGCAAATAGACCTACCTGATACTACGTCATCTACCGCCCGTTGGTGTACAGCCCCACCCTCAAACACCTGCAGCCAGCAAATAGACCTACCTGATACTACGTCATATACCGCTCGTTGGTGTACAGCCCCACCCCCTTCACACTGTTGTTTTCATTCGCAGTCATTGAGAAATATTTTGTTTAAAAAAATGTCTTCTGCCTTCTTTCCTTACTATGTTACGTCTTTTCATCAGAGAAAGACAATTAAAGCCAATGGTTGTATATCAAAGTCGTCACAAATCCTTAACACAGTTAAAATATGATGCAGTTAAAAATCGTATATATCTTGTAGGTTTATTCCTAAAACCACAGTCAAAAAACCGTGTGTATCTTGAAGGTTTGTTCCTAAAACCATAGTCAAAAACCACGTTTCCTGTAAATTTATTCCTAAAACCGCATTCCTAAAACAAAAAAAAACCCAAAAAACTTCCAGGAAATGGAAATGGTCCTGTCTGTGCCTGTGAGCGCCATCTTGACCCAGAAAACCCAAAATATTGAGTTACGTAACCGGATCCCCGAAGGCATACATCTAAATACAGCAGTGAATTCATTAGTGTCTGCATGTTTGCTTCCCTCTGAGAGAGAAAGAACTCATTAGACCAGACCTGTTTACCTTGGAAGCACAGGTAAGCCGAGAAGTTTGCAAACACGAGGCACGACCTGGTGAAATGGAAGTACGAAATGCAGACACCCCCTCCCTCCCACCCCTCACCCTTTTTGTTTTCTCAATGGTAATGCGATAGCTGAGAGAATGGAGGCCATTTTCTCAAACAAAGAGAGGACGGGGCTTGTCCTGGCCATAAATAGTTGCAGTTTTTAGTTGCTGAGATGGATGGTGTATGATTGGTGTGTTATGTGACAGTTTTTAGTTGCTCAGATGGATGGTGTATGATTGGTGTGTTATGTGACAGTTTTTAGTTGCTGAGATGGATGGTGTATGATTGGTGTGTTGTGACAGTTTTTAGTTGCTGAGATTGATGGTGTATGATTGGTATGTTATGTGACAGTTTTTAGTTGCTGAGATGGATGGTGTATGATTGGTGTGTTGTGACAGTTTTTAGTTGCTGAGATGGATGGTGTATGATTGGTGTGTTGTGACAGTTTTTAGTTGCTGAGATGGATGGTGTATGATTGGTGTGTTATGTGACAGTTTTTAGTTGCTGAGATGGATGGTGTATGATTGGTATGTTGTGACAGTTTTTAGTTGCTGAGATGGATGGTGTATGATTGGTAGGTCGGGTGATTGGTATGTTATGTGATTGGTATGCTGAGTGACTCGTACGATGAATGCTTGGTATAAATACATGTCAGCCAAATGAGCAATATGTGAAAAAGTTGAGGCGGTCAAGTTTGTTTTAGTGACAGTGACCAGCTGGATATTAGCAGCGTTTTGTGGCATTGTCTATGTACACATTTGTTTCATTGGTGGGTGGGAGAGAGTGATGTCACGTTGTTGGGAGTGATGTCACGTTGTTGGGAGAGTGATGTCACGTTGTTGGGAGTGATGTCACGTTGTTGGGAGAGTGACGTCACGTTAATGATAGAGTGATGTCACGTTGGTGGGATGTCACGTTGTTGGGAGAGTGATGTCATGTTGGTGGGAGTGATGTCACGTTAGTGGGACTGTGATGTCACGTTGTTGGGAGAGTGATGTCACGTTGGTGGGATAGTAATATCACGTTGGTTGAAACGATGTCACGTTGGTGGGAGTGATGTCACGTTGTTGGGAGTTGTGTCACGTTGGTGGGAGTGATGTCACGTTGTTGGGAGAGTGATGTCATGTTGGTGGGAGTGATGTCACGTTAGTGGGACTGTGATGTCACGTTGTTGGGAGAGTGATGTCACGTTGGTGGGATAGTAATATCACGTTGGTTGAAACGATGTCACGTTGGTGGGAGTGATGTCACGTTGTTGGGAGTTGTGTCACGTTGGTGGGAGTGATGTCACGTTGGCGTGAGAGAGCTTCAACATTAACTGTGGCTATTGCTAAAAGTATTTAAAAAAAACTCCTGCAATATTCAAAGAACCCTTGCATGCTTTTCTCCATCAAATCATCAACATTTCGTTACATCT